TAAATCCTTAGGATGGGGACGTGCAAAATAATTCGTTTCTCTCTTTTTATTCTCTTCATTTTCCCTGATAGGCTATCTCTCACCAAGTGTGTGTGTGTGTGTGTGTGTGTCTGTGTGTGTGTGTGTGTGTGCGCGCGCGCGCGCGTTTATTTTTTTGCTCTTTTTCTTGTACATGTCACTTTTTCATCAGCTCGTCTCCACCTTGCTGCAGAACAACCACTTCATTGTAATTTTTTTTGCACACAATATACATTTTAGTTAAATTGAAAGTATTGCATTACTACCATGTGTTATTATCTTAAATTGACTAAAATACTCGAGATTAAAAAAACAACAACTATATTTTCTAAATTGTCTAAATGTCAAAATTAGTAAAAAAAATAAAAAAAAATTAAAAACATCATAAAAATATCTTTATAGAAAAATCATTATACTGAATATGTCATTGCATTATCATGAGTCAAGTTTTTCCCAAACGAAAATTAACCATGGTTTTATTATAGTAAAAGTGTAGTAACCATGGTTATTTTGCGGATTGATTACCATTTGCATAACCATAGATTTACAACAAATACCACTGTGAAACTCTGGGTAGTGTAGCAAAACCATTGTTAATTTGTGGTTACCATGATTTAGGCATAGGCTACCTATAGTAACCACGTTTTTTTTATTTTAAATTTTTTTCATAGTAAAACCATAGTTAATTTTCGTAAGGGTTGGGTTGTTGTCTGCTCTAGCTTCCTCTAAAGCTGTTATAAAATGATGTGAATATTTTCTGCTAAATTACTACTGTAACTTTACAATAGATGATGATGTCCATTCAGTATTTTGAGCGACGTTAATACAGTTTAATGTTGTTTAATGCTTAACTTAGGGCTGTCACGATTATTAAATAAGCGTATGATCCCAATTGTTTGACATAGCCGCGGTCGTTGTACCCAACCGCAATTATTGCGCACTTTTATTAGCCACAAGGGGGAACTGTTGTACCTGCAGCACCCTACTTCCAACATGCTTGCTCTGCACGCAGTTTTGAATCACTGAGCCATATCAGTGCAATTATACAGCAAAGATGGATTTCATATCGAAGCCGAAAACGACGGCACCTGTCTGGGCACATTTTGGTTTAAACCTGACGAAAAAGGACGGCCGAAAGACATTGACACAGCAGTGTGTCGAATATGTAAAAGAGAAATACCAGCGAAAAGCGCCAACACCACAAATCTTAGAAACCATCTAAAGACACATCATCCCACTGAATTTGCCGAAGTTTGCAAGGCATCCAAAACCGCACATACATCCCGTCAGCTGCCAATAGCAGAGGCTTTCGAACGGGTAACGAAATATAAACTTGACAGCATCAAATGGCGCACACTGACAGACAGTGTTACTAGGTACATTGCGAAGGAAATGCAGCCGTTTAATACGGTGGAAAAAACAGCATTTAAAGAAATGCTGCAGAACTTCGACAACAAGTATGAATTGCCAGGAAAAACATGCATTTCCAAAACGGCAATACCGAATTTGTACAATCAAGTGAAGGAAGATATTGTTTCAGATCTGAAACAAATTCCTTTTTATTCCGCTACTACAGACATGTGGTCCAGCTCAAACATGACTCCGTACATGAGCTTTACAGTTCATTACATCACAGCTGACTGGACTCTACAGTCAAAATGTCAACAGACAAGGTACACCCCAGAAAACCACACATCTGATAATCTAGCAGAAACTCTTAAGTGTATTTTATCGGACTGGGAATTAAAAAATGAAATGAATGAAAAAAAATTGTCTTGCATTACCACAGATAATGGAGCTAATATTGTGGCTGCAGTGGGTAAACCTGGTTGGCTATGGCTAAAATGCTTTGGCCATAATCTCCATTTGGCTGTCACAAATGCTGTAGCAAGTGAGAAAGAGCGCACAGCTCGTGCCCTAGGACTGTGTAGAAATCTGGTAACCACCTTCAGTATGAGTTGGATAAAGAAAAGAGACCTGAAAAAGGCACAGACGGAGACCAACATCCCCTAATTCTGGTGAGTGAAATATTTTATTACTATCTATCTAATAAAAATGACATTACAGTTTCAGATACAAATATGAGAATATCAGAGAAATAAGGATTAATGTTTATATTATTGAGTTGTTTTCTTACTTTTTAAATTAGTTTTCGTTTGCATATTATTACAAAAAAACGCATGGAATTTTGATATATTTTCATGACTGGCAACATTTTATTGATAACGTCATTAGTTAGGTAAATGATAAAAATGAATCTGGAATTGTGTCTGTGTTTGTTTGTGGATTAGCCAAAAATATGCGCAAAATTTGCGATTATTTTCTATAATTATGATAGCACATTTACCATATATTAAGTATTATGTTAGATGCACAATAATTATATATGACACAAAGAACAAACAAAATGCATGAAGCTTGTTTATTTTGCACACAAAAAATGACAACAGGATACAGATTTTTTTTTTGTTTTTTTGCTGCTGCTGTTTTCATTCATATTAAGGACATTATAGACCTACAGTAATGCGCGTGTTGACATGTGGAAATAGTATGCTCTCATTTGTATTTGTATTTTTGTTTTCTATTTGGGACAGGCAATCCAGATGTCTAATGTGTCATGTCACTAGATGTCATGTGACCTGATCAGTGACTGAAGGAATGCATGTGTTTTTCTGTTTTAATAAAAATGCGCCAGTCAGTGGTTAAAGAGGGCTTAATAAAAGAATGGCAGAGAGGATGGGAAAAGGAATTCAAGGGTAGACATTATATATGTTTTTGTAGTTGTCCATCTCGTAGGGACTCCGTTAAACTGTGTAGATTGAGGTTGGGGCACTGTGGGTTAAATTACTTTTTGTATATTGTAGGAAAGCATATTTCTGGATTATGTGAATATGGAAACAGTAGGGCATGTTTTCTTGGAATGTAGGAAGTGTAATGCAGAAAGAAAATCACTTTTTGATAAATTGGCAGAATTTGGAGTTAAAGTGTTTTCTGTTACTTCTTTGTTTGGACACAGTGATAAACATAAACTGATCTCTGAGGTAGTTCTTCAGTTCTTGCATAATACAGGACTGTATATAAGAATTTAGTTCAAACATGCACCAATAAGCTGGATGCCAACCGCCGTTAAACTGGAAAGAAGAAGAAGTAGCTTAATACTCAAATAACAAAGGGAGAGGATATGGATGGAATATAAATCAGTTAGCAGAGAAATATCAGATAACAAATATAGAATGTAGTGTGTCACCTGTATGGGGAGAGGTGCCAACATGGATAATTCCTGATGTTAAAATTGATCTAGAGATATTGGATAAGAAAAGAGAATGGGAGGAAATGGGTAGTATTAAATATAATGTAAATAAGTATATTCAGGAAATATTTTATGCAAGTATGCACATTTATACTGATGGATCTAAAGACCCCAAAACAGGGCTTACAGGAGTAGGAATATATATTCCAGATTTTAAAATATCCATAACTAAAAGATTAACATCTAAATTGTCAATATATACTGTTGAAATGGTTGCTATCATAATAGGACTAACATGGGTAGAGGAAGTAAGACCAGACAGAGTAGTGGTATGCTCTGACTCTGCTTCTGTTTTAACATCATTGATTACTCGGCAATCTTCTAGAGAAGATTTGTTGTGTGAAATATTTACATTATTATGGCGTATACAAAGAAAAGGTGTGGTAGTTGGATTCTGCTGGGTGCCAGCACATGTGGGAATAACTGGTAATGAATCTGCTGATGAATTAGCAAAAAATGCTTTAGGAAGAGAAGTAATAGATTTTAATGTTCCTTTAAGTAAATGTGAAATTAAAACTATCATTAAGGAAAATATTATGAAAGAATGGCAGGGAATATGGAATACAGGTAATAAGGGAAGGCATTTATATAATATTAAAAAAATGGTTAATACTAAAAGAAGTGTAAGTGGTAGAAATAGAAAAGAAGAGGTTATTATAACCAGGATGAGACTTGGACACTCGGGATTGAACGCTTCACTGTTCATAACTGGAATACATGAGACTGGGCTGTGTGGGAATTGTGGGGAGAAAGAAACAGTGGAGCATGTAATATATAATTGTACAAGGTATGATGAAGAAAGAAAGGAATTAATATCATATTTAAACAAGAAAGGTAAGGTAAATAAGGATTTGGAATACTTATTAGGATATGAGTTTAACAGAGATAGAGAAGGATACATGATATTAATAAAATACATATATACTTCTGGGTTAAGTGAAAGGATTTAAAATATAGAATGCCGATGCTCTATTCTATTCTGGATCTGCAGGGACCACGGATTTAGTCTGGAGGAGCTGAACACGCAGCGCCAGGTGGAGCCTGGGGAGAAGGAATGGGATGGAGCATCGAATAATTATTTAAGTAGGAATATTTGTGTATATACGGGTGTAAGAACAGGAAAAGCAAAAACAAGGAATAAATTGATAAATAAACCATGACTGCATAACAGCAAAAGTAGGTGGCGATATGCACACAGGATGTAACACGCCAAAAAACGGAAGAAGAAGAAGAAGAAGAAGAAGAGGAAGAAGACGACGACGACTGAGTGGTTGGTAAAGCCGTATCTTCTCGTCTGTTATTTAGCGTACTCTGTTAACAGGTTATGGGCCCAGAGCAGAGTAGAAAACGTTTGGAGTGATAAGACGCTGGGTAAAAGTCGCGATGGATATAGCGTGTACCCGAGTCTTTCGACATGAGAAGAAGAGATAAAGAAACCGTGACAAGCCGCTGGTCTCGACTAGTCTTTTTACGGAGACGAGAAAAACTACGAGCTATGGGAGACAAAGTTATTGGGCCATCTTTATTTGCAAGGACTGAAAGAGACTATTTTAAGTGAGTCTTTTGAGGAAGACGAGGAAGATACGGCGAAAAACGCCGAAGGAACTGATACAGTTCCTGGATGACAAAAGTTTGTCGCTTATGAGGGAAGCAGCAGACGATGGAAGAGCGGCATTGAAGATTCTTCAGGAATATTATGCTGGCAAAGGAAAGCCTAGAGTAATTAGCTTATACACCGAGCTAACGTCATTGCAAAAGTCGCACAGTGAGTGTGTTACTGATTATGTCATCAGGGCTGAGACCGCAATCACCGCTTTGAGGAACGCAGGTGAGAATCTGAGTGATGGACTTTCAGTAGCAATGGTTCTGAAAGGACCAAATGACTTCCAGAGACATTTAAGCCATTTGCCATTCATGTAACCCAGAGAGATGATAAATTTACTTTTACGGAATTTAAAACAAGGCTTCGAAGTTACGAAGACCTTGAAAATATGCGGGCAACCGTATCCGAGCCTGGCAGGAAAAACCGCTTTAGCGAGTACTGTTTGTGGTGCTGGAAGTACCAACATGTTTGTTTGTTACAGGTGTGGTACAAAAGGCCACAAAGCAAGGACATGTCAGCGTAAACAGTGGTGTAGTCAGTGCAGAAGTACCACTCACCGCGACGCAACATGCAGACGGGGAAAGCAGCGGGATAACGCACAAAAAGCTTCCGCAGAGCCAAGTGACAGGGAGTATGCTTTCCGGGCAAGCGACGCTGAAATGCGGGTACAGAATACCAAGAGGAAAGGCATAATGGTGGATGCAGGTGCAACTTCACACATCATCACGGACATCTAGAAGTTTCAGAGTTTTGACAGTAGTTTCCAGGCCAACACACACTGCGTGGAATTGGCTGACGGCACTCGGTGGAACGGGGTCGCAAAGCACAGAGGAGAAGCAGAGATATATTTGGTTGACGGCACGGGACGGCGCGTCAAAGCAATGCTAAGAAACGTGCTACACATCCCAACATATCCACAGGACATTTTCTCTGTGAAAGCAGCCACATCGAATGGAGCGACGGTGGTCTTCAAAGAAGGGAAGAACGTTCTACTACATAAGGATGGTACCAAATTCCCCATACATGTGCACGACAAACTGTACTATTTGCACACAATAGACAATGAAGGTGTTGAACAATGTAAGAGGTGTTATGATTTGCAGACATGGCATGAAATATTAGGGCACTGCAATCATGGGGATATAATTAAATTGGAGGAAGTTGTTGACGGTATGCAAATTGCGGGTATGGATAAACCTATCCCACGCTGTGAAATTTGCACACAGGGAAAGTTTATTCAAACTAGGAACAGAGGGCCTGATGCAAGAGCTAAAGCAGCCCTAGAAATGATACATACAGATTTAGCAGGGCCTATAGACCCAGCATCTAGAGACGGTCATAAGTATGCACTATCTTCCACAGATGATTACTCCAGTGCAGTGTTTGTTTATTTTTTGAAAAACAAGGGGGATACAGTGACTGCCACAGAAAAATTCCTTGCCGATATGGCTCCATATGGAAAGGTAAAATGCATGAGGTCTGACAATGGTATGGAATTTACAGGAAGGGAGTACCAGGCATTATTAAGCAGAAACTGTATTAGACACGAGACCTCAGCGCCGTACTCTCCACACCAGAACGGCACGGGCTGAGCGGAACTGGAGAACCTTATTTGACATGGCTAGATGCATGTTAATAGAAAGTGGGTTACCAAGAACATTGTGGACGTATGCAGTCCAGACAGCTGCTGTAGTGAGAAACAGATGTTTCAACAATCGCACTAAACAGACAGCTTACTTTATGTTAACAGGTAGACAGCCTAACATTTCAAGAATGCAGAAATTAGGAGTAGCATGCTACGCTTACATACATGACAGAGGGAGGTTAGGAAAGTTGGATTCAAGATGTGAGAAGGGTTTTTTTGTTGGATACGACAAGAATAGTCCGGCATACATGATTTACTATCCTAACAGCAGGAAGGTACAGAAATGCAGACTAGTGGAGTTTGTATCCAAGAGTACTGAGACTATACACTCTTAAAAATAAAGGTGCTTCACGATGCCATAGAATAACCTTTTTGTCTAAATGGTTCCATAAGGAACCTTTAACATCTGAAGAACCTTTCTGTTTCACAAAGGGTTCTTTGGGGCGAAAGAAGGTTCTTCAGATTATAAAAAGCTAAGAAAGAGATGGTTCTTTAAAGAACCTTTGACTGAATGGTTCTTTGTGGAACCAAGAATGGTTCTTCTATGGCATCGCTTGAAGAACCTTTTGAAGCACCTTTATTTTTAAGAGTGTACTGATAGATGATGATGGTTTTGAGACCAGGAACAATCCTCTCAGAGAATCTGTGAAATCAGAATCAGATGTTAGTTCACAAAGTACTCAAGAACCAGTAGTGTAACCAAGCACAACAGGAAGAAGATAAACCTGAAAGGAGAAATCCTGCAAGAGACAGAAAAAGGCCAATTTATTTGAGTGACTATGTTTGTGGTATTGAAGGTGATGTGACTAATATTGATTACTGTTACAGACTTGTGTGTAATGTACCCCAAACCTACAAAGAAGCTGTAACATCAGTAAATGCAAATGAATGGGTTAAAGCTATGGATGAGGAAATGCACTCATTGAGAGAAAATGTTACGTTTACCCTGACTAATCTACCTGATGGTAAAGAAGTAGTGGGGGGTAAATGGGTCTATGCAATTAAGAGAAATAGTGATGGATCAGATAAGTACAAAGCACGATATGTTGCTAAAGGGTACAGTCAAGAGAAAGGTGTAAACTACACGAATACCTATGTGAAAACAAGTTTGTTCAAAACAAAAGGGAATAACAATGTGAGAGCAAGTGGGGGTGTTGACATGTGGAAATAGTATGCTCTCATTTGTACTTGTATTTTTGTTTTCTATTTGGGACAGGCAATCCAGATGTCTAATGTGTCATGTCACTAGATGTCATGTGACCTGATCAGTGACTGAAGGAATGCACGTGTTTTTTCTGTTTTAATAAAAATGCGCCAGTCAGAGCGACTGAGTGGTTGGTAAAGCCGTATCTTCTCGCCTGTTATTTTAGCGTACTCCGTTAACAGCGCGTCCCAAACAGTTTATTCACTTAAGACATAACCGATTGTGTTTAAATGAATAACTCGCCAAGACGGACTTTTTGGTAAGCGCACGCGGCAAGGCGGAAAGCGTGCGAAACACAAATCCGCAGTCAGTCCGACTGAATGAATTGAGTTCTCTTTCCAACAGTAGAATTTATTTTGTCATCTGTTGTCATCCGTATTTTATTATAAGGACTACAAAACGATTAACCCCCACTCTGGTGGAATGTATTTGGAAGTTGCTTTGCCGGTCCATGACAGTTCTGTGAGACTTCAGTGAGAAAGTTTCGCTTTCGCTGTTTCACACACCGCTCACTGATATCACGTGCAAGCAGGGGCGTAGGCAGCGGACGATATTTTTTATACAAATATAATATTTGGATAATATATTTATTTGTTAAATAATTATTGTTTAATCTATTTGAACACAATGAGAGAACTATTATAACATCTCAAATAACTAAAATCAAATGTGTTTTTGCCAGGGGCGTAGCCATCATTTCAAAAGTGGGGGGGGACGGAATGTCTAGTGTTATACCTGTTTTTTCCCTTGTCTAATTGACAGGTTTTATTTTTAATCGTACCTTTTTTGCTTTATATGCTTTATGCTTATATTATTATATATGATTATAAAACAGAAGAAAGAGAGAAAGAAACAAAGAGAAAGAAAAAGAGAAAGAAAGAGAAAGAGAGAAATACAACAGCATGTCACTGGGACAGCACCCTTAAAAGGACATCTTTGTACATTATTTACCCCAAAAAGTTTCATAGTTGTACATTAAGGTACATATTGGTACTCTAAGGTACTAATGTGCACCTTTTCCAGTATAAAGTACAAAGATGTCCTTATAAGGGTACTGAGAGTATATTGTTTACATATTTCAAATTGTATTTTGTGTATGTTGTATGTACAGTTCATGGCACACAGTAATGGATACTTGCACATTCACATACTACTTTATTAAATTATTTTTTAGTATGGGGAACACATATTCACTATTAACTATGACTTTCGCCTCAAACTCTTAATTTACTGCTTATTTGCTTATTAATAGGTAGTCGTTGTAGTTGTTAAGTTTAGGTATTAGGTAGGATTATGGGATGCAGAATATGGTCATGAAGAATAAGGAATTAATATGTGCTTTCTAAGTAGCCTACTAATAAACAGCCAGTATGCAAGCTAATAAGTACCTAAATGATAGCTGAGAAGTTGTTCATCATACTAATGTGTTACATATTTTTTCTATATTTTACTAATTACATTTTTTATGATTGGTCCATATA